TTATGTTGATTAGTGATCTTTAATTATGTCATTAGTAATATGTAGTATCAAAAGTAAATGGACGGATAGTTTCTCCTGCATTAATCTACCTAATTCGCATCTATCGCGTTAAAATTCTTCGTTGAGGGATTTCTTACGGTGTTAGATAATTCAATAATTTGGAGATGTCTACAATCCAAATGGTAAGAAATGTGTGTTGGCAAGGAGCGTTTACTTGAGCCAATAGCATGAATATTGGGAATATAGATCAATTTTCGATTTCACAATCAGATCTTCCTTCGAAGCATATAATTAAAAAGTGAAAATAGATAATAACAATTATTATGTGAAAATTTATTACAACTATACCTTGTGTCTATCATCTGCTGATACTTTGTAAGCGTATGTAGAGGCACTTGGAACTGTTACAAACTCTAGTTGAAATCATGAAATTGTATTGTGTCTCTGTCATCTGCTATTACTTCGTAGAGTATGTAGAGGCCCTTGAAATTGTTACATGTCTTAGTGTTTATCAAATATAAAGAATTATGAAATTTCAACTCAATATTCTAACATCTACTAATCTTCGGGAGTACAAAATGACATACCACTTATCTTTATATTTAACAATACTAGGTTGAAATCATCATCTATCTACATTTATCTTACACGAGCTTTTTCTCGAGTGATGCATTCAAAATTTCGGCTGACATCTCCGTCATGAAATGATCTTATTACAAAATTTTCTTTTCAAGATGACTGCGCAGAACAAACCTAAGATAAAAAAAAAAAAAATCTTGACATTTATTAATGGTGATACAACTTGAGTAGCATACGGTGTCCACAATCAGAATTGCCTTTTTCTCTCTTTCCTTTTTAATAATTTAATGAAAAATAGTTAATTAAGTGAATTATTATACGTAGGGGCGGACGCAAACCTTAAAAATTAGGGGGTACAATCGAACTTGCAAAAAAGTTGGAAAAAAATTTAACAATCGAAAATTTACGTCCAAAAAAAAATACCTCAGGGAAACATACCCTTAGGTCCGCCCATGATTTACGCTTGACCAAGCAAAACTATTTGAGAACATGAGTGGTAATCCAAGCATAGAATGAGACTATCCATGCAATTTCTACTATGATTAAAAATAAAAATTGGGTAAATTCCTCCCGTCACCAACTTTTCATAGACGTGTCAATTATATTCACGATCTTTCATTTGTAACACTCATATTCGCATCCTGATAACACTGTCACATCAATTTATTTGGTAACTACACCTCATTCAATTGTATCAACTTTGTCCTCAAACTCTATTTAATAGCATATGTTGTCCCTAATAACAGACAAAAAATTCATTAGAAATGAATAAAAATATTTATTTGCTCCTTGTATATTTAAATAAGTAAAATAAACAATAATTACAAAAATTTAATACCACGATAACAGAATCTTTGGACAGAAGCCATCGTTAGAGATAAGATATGTTAATTTATTGAAAGTTAATTGTAAGAATGAGATGAAAGTTAAGGACTTACGAGATAAAGAAAACAAAATAATTTTTGTTCGAAACTACTTTCCTTTTCTAATCCCCACCACTCGTAGCTTAGGGTTATTAGCATAAAACATCCTTATGTTTGGAGTTTATTTTGCAAAATGTCCTCATGTTTTATTTTTTTTGTATTTTCACTCATATTTACAACTTTCATTGCAAAAATCATCAATTTGATTCAATTTCTTATAAAAATATGTGAAATAACGAATATACCCTCATATTTAAATAAAACAAAAAGAAAAGAAAAATAAGGAACTAATTGCAATTATACTCTCAATTTTTATTTTTATTTTAAAAAGTGAAAAGTCGTAAATAAATTATTAAAAAATTAAAATAAAAAAATTCCCTCTCCTCGTTCATTTGCACTTTTTTTAAAAAAATAATATTTGATTTCTAGTTTAATTGATTTGGGATTCGTTTTCACATTTAAAAAAATTTCGGGACTATGATTTCAATTAATTCTTTAATTTTTTAATTTAAATAGGAGGACATATTCATCATTTCACGGCTCTTTATTGAAAAATTGGATGAAAATGGATAGAAATTATGGTATGCCCAATCAAATGTATAAGTAAATGTGAAAATATCAAAAAAAAAAGTGTGGACATTTTTCGTAATAATAATGAAAGATTGATATATTATGTGTTAATTACCCTTTAATAATTTATTTAGAACTCATTTGCACTTTTTACAAACATTTGGGATTATGGTTGCAATTAATTTTTTTCTTTTAATTTTATTTAAAGAGAATGTTATATTCGTTATTTCACAATTTTTAATTGAGAAATAGGTTAAAAAGATCTTTTAAGCAATGAAATGTGCAAATAAGGGTCAAAAAATGAAAGATAATGACGTGTTCCACAATAACGGTGAAAGATGTGGACGTTATGTGCTAATTACCCTTTAATGATTTATTTGGGACTCATTTGCATTTTTTTTTTAAATTGAGATTATGTTTGCAATTATTTTTTTCTTTTTTCTTTTTATTTATAGAGAATGGTATATTCGTCATTTCAAAAAAATTCGTTGAGAAAATAGATGAAAATGACATTTTATATAACGAAATGTGAAAATAGGGGTGAAAATATTAAAAAAAATAAAAAGTAGGGTAATTGGCGCAAAACGTCCATACCTTTGAAGGTTTTTGTGGAAAACGTCAATACCTTTCCTTTTTTGGTGCAGCACGTCCCTTTGCGTTGAACGTCATTTTCACCCATTTTTAACATAAAAAGACTAATATACCCTCCTATATAAATAAAAGAAAAGAAAAGAAAAATAAAGAATTAATTGCAATCTGCTCCTAAACTTTTTTAAAAATGCAAATCAGTTTAAAACTTATGAAAATATTAAAAATAACAAAAACGCACTCTATCTTCTCCTCCACCTCCCTCCACCGTCTGACGACCACATCTACTATTCTCCACCTCCTCAACCTCCTAACATTGGTACCAACACAATATCCTCAACACCCTCTACAATTTCATCCCAA